ATTAGCCAGAGATGTAGATGCCCTTCTCAGTGCTGTCTTCTAGGACAATGTAGATGTGCCACCACCACAGTCTGAGCTGTCAGTGGAGAGAAGGCAGAGAATGAGGGCAAATATAGCATATGCTTTTGGAAAGCAAAGCAAAGCAAAGCAAAGCAAAACAAAACAAAACAACTGGCAATTTCTGTGATGGGGCTTTTGCTTGGCTCACAATTTATTTATTTTTTTATTCATTTGCCTTTTTACTTATTACAATTTATTCACTTTGTATCCCAGCTGTACCCCCCTCCAGATCACCTCCCAATCCCTCCTTCCCTCCCTCACTCTCTCCCTCTTCTCCTCCTATGCCTCTTTCCCAGTTCACTGATAGGGGAGGTTCTCCTCCCCTTCTATCTGACCCTAGCCTATCATGTCTCATCAGGACTGTCTGCATTGTCTTCCTCTGTGGCCTGCTTCCCTCTCAGGGGGAGGTGCTCAAAGAGCCAGCCACTGAGTTCATGTCAAAGACAGTCCCTGTTCCCCTTACTAGGGAACCCATTTGGAGACTGAGCTGCCATGGGCCACATGGAGTTCTAGGTTATATCCATGGTCCTTGGTTGGAGTACCAGTCTCAGAAAAGACTCCTGGGCCCAGATATTTTGGTTCTGTTGCTCTCCTTGTGGAGCTCCAGTCCCCTCCAGGTCTTATTCTCTCCCCCTTCTTTCATAAGATTCCCTGCATTCTGCCCACAGTTTGGCTATGAGTCTCAGCATCTGCTGGGTAGAGTGTTTCACAGGCCTCTGTGGTAGGCTCCTGTCCTGTTGTTTCATCTTCTTCCAGTGCCTATCCCATTTGCCTTTCTGGATGAGGATTGAGCATCTTACCCAGGGTCCTCCTTCTTGCTTAGCTTCTTTAGGTGTACAGATTTTAGTAGTATTACCCTATATTATATCTCTAATACCCACTTACAAGTGAGTATATACCATGTGTGTCTTTCTGCTTCTGGGATACTTCACTTAGGATGATCTTTTCTAGTTCCCACCATTTGCCTGCAAATTTTATGGTTTCCTTGTTTTTAATTGCTGAGTAGTATTCCATTGTGTAAATGTACCACAATTTCTGTATCCAGTCCTCAACTGAGGGACATCTGGGTCATTTCCAGATTCTGGCTATTATGAATAAAGCTGCTATGAACATGGTTGAGCAAATGTCCTTGTTGTATACTTGAGCATATTTTGGATATATGCCTAGGAGTAGTATAGCTGAATCTTGAGGTAGCACTATTCCTAATTGTCTGAGAAAGCACCAGATTGATTTACAAAGTGGTTGTACAAGTTTACATTCCCACCAGCAGTGGAGCAGGGAATCCCTTTCTCCACATCCTCTCCAGCATGTGTTGTCACTTGAGTTTCTTATCTTAGCAATTCTGATGGGTGTAAGGTGAAATCTCAGGGTTGTTTTGATTTGCATTTCCCTGATGACTAAGGATGCTGAGCATTTCTCTAGGTGTTTCTCTGCCATTTGGTATTTCTCTATTGATAATTCTTTGTTTGTCTCTGCACCCTATTTTTTAATTGGATTACTTGATTTGTTGCTGTTTAACTTCTTGAGTTCTTTAGATATTCTGGAATTAACCCTCTGTCAGATATAGGGTTGGTGAAGATCCTTTCCCAATCTGTAGGCTGTCGTTTTGTTCTGATGACAGTGTCCTTTGCTTTACAGAAACTTTTCAGTTTCATGAGATCCCATTTATTGATTGTTGATCTCAGAGCCTGTGCTGTGGTGTTCTGTTCAGGAAGTTGTCTCCTGTGCCAAAGAGTTCAAGGATCTTCCCCACTTTTTCTTCTAACAGGTTTAGTGTGTCTGATTTTATGTTGAGGTCTTTAATTCACTTGGACTTTAGTTTTGTGCAGGGTGATAAGTATAGATCTATTTGCATTTTTCTACATGTAGATATCCAGTTAGACCAGCACCATTTGTTGAAGATCCTATCTTTTTTCCATTGTATGGTTTTGACATCTTTAAAAAATCAACTGTCCATATGTGTGTGGGTTTATTTCTTGGCCTTCTGTTTGATTCCATTGATCCACCATTCTGTTTCTATGTCAGTACCATGCAGTTTTTATTACTGTTGCTATATAGTACAGCTTGAGATCAGGGACAGAGATACTTCCAGATGATCTTTTATTGTAGAGGATTGTTTTAGCAATTCTGGGTTTCTTGTTATCCCATATGAAGTTGAGAATTTTTCTTTGAAGGTCTGTAAAGAATTGTGTTGGTAATTTGATGGGAATTATGTTGAATCTGTAGATTGCTTTTGGTAAGATGGCCATTTTTACTATGTTAATCCTGCCAAGCCATGAACATGGGAGATTGTTCTATCTTCTGATATCTTCTTCTATTTCTTTCTACAGAGACTGCAAGTTTTTTTCATACAAGTCTTTAACTGGCATGGTTAGAGTTACACCAAGGTACTTTATGTCCTTTGTGGCTATTGTGAAGGGTGTTGTTTCCCTAATTTTTTTCTCAGCCCATTTGTCTTTTGTATACAGGAGTGCTACTGATTTTTTTTTAGTTAATTTTGTATCCAGCCACTTTGCTGAAGGTGTTTATCAGCTGTAGGAGTTCACTGGTAGAATTTTTTGGGGTCACTCATGTATACTATCATATCATCTGCAAATAGTGATACTTTGACTTCTTCCTTTCCAATATGTATCCCTTGATATCCTTTAATTGTCTCATTTCTCTAGCAAGGACTTCAAGAACTATGTTAAAGAGATAAGGAGAGAGTGGGCAGCCTTGCCTTGTTCCTGATTTTAGTGGGATTGATTTAAGTTTCTCTCTGTTTAGTTTGATGTTGGCTCACAATTTCATAAGCTTTCTCAGCAGACTGACCCAGGCTCCACACTTGGAGCTGCATTTCTTTAGCTGATGATTTCCTGATACCTCTTAAAGTAGAAAGACTGCTAGAAATAAATGACTGCTGACCCTGGGAAGTGGAGGGACTGTGGCAGGACGGAGAGGGACCTGGAACTTGTGAGCAGTAGACTAAGCCAAGGGCATGCTGGGTAATGAGAAGGTTGGGGAGGGGGTGACAAGAGCAACCTCGTATCCCAGGACATGACTCATTCTAAACGTGGCTTCTCCAGTTGTGCTTTCCATACAGAATTCAAGAGAGCATGGAGAAATCGCATTCAGAAAGGCCATAGAAGTCACTGAAAGATCAGCAGGCCCAGAACATGAGTCACACGTGACAAATGACAGCCATAGCCAGGGAACTCTGTTCCAGTCATGGGTAGGCACCCTGAGTTGCCACCAGGCACAGGAATTCTGAGTCTTGTTATAGTTTCTCTCTTCTTCCCTCCCTTTCTTTATTTTCTTTTTTTGATTTTTCAAGACAGGGTTTCTCTGTGTAGCCTTGACTGTTCTGGACTTGCTTTGTAGACCAAGCTGGCCTTGACCCCTTTGTTCTTCTTTTAAAAAAGGAATTAAGAATTTTTATGTGTACATGCGTGTGTGCCAGTTTTTCTGTATGTGCACCCATGCAGACAGGTGTCTGTGAAGTCTAGAAGAGGGTGCTGGATTCCCTGACATGAGAGTTATTGGCAGTTGTGAGCCCCCTGATGTGAATTCTAGGAACCAACACTGACCCCTGCAAGAACATATACACTCTTAACTGCTGAACAGTTCCCCTCCATATATATATACACGTATATATGTATATACATATATATACATATATGTATACATATATGTGTACATATATATACATATATACATGTATATATATATATTTAATACAAGGTCTCATGTAGCTCGGGTTGGCTTCAAGCTCATTATGAAGCCAAGGCTGACCTTGAACTTCTGATCACAGACATTCGCCATCAGTGTTCTACAGGGAGAATGATCCAACACAGCTATACTTTCAGTTTAAAATGATATTACCTATGTAGTATGCAAAAGTGAAATACAAACAACAAGCAACAGGTAGAGCAAAAAACTACTATCCAATCAGGGGCTCGTGATATAAAAAAAAAAAAAAAGAGGACTGAGGAAGTCCTGTCCAGAGCAACGTGCTGGAAGCTGAGAAAGATTTGCACAAAGAGCAATGTTCTCCCCACGGAGGCATCTTCCAGCTTCTGGTTCCCATTGCAGGCAGCTTTATGTCATGCTACAGACAACAGTAACCTTCTTTGGAAAGGTTTTACCTTTCAGCTGGTCAGGGATGCAATGCCATTTTTGTTTTTATTTTCTATTTTCTTGTGTATGTGTGGTATACATGTGTGTGTGTGTGTGTGTTTGCACATATGTGTGTGGAGGCACTAGATTGATGTCCTCAATCATTCTAGATGGGCTCTTCCATAGCTTTCCTTGGGGCAGGGTCACTCAATCAAACCCACAGCTTACTGATATGGCTACTCCTATGGACAGCTTGCTCCGGGACACCCCCCCATCATCACTCAGGATGGAATTACAGGCTACTGCCATGATTACTCAGATCTACCCAGGTTTACCTGGTATCTGGGAAGGGGAACGTGAGTTCTCTAACCTTTTAATAACTAACACTTTCCCCAGTCCCAAGCTGTGTACTGTTCATACTCTTAGCCATTCTCCTTCCTCTCTGACACAGACTTGGGACCAGCCTGACCCAGAACAAGGAGTATTGGAGAGTATTTGACAAAACAAACAAAGAAACAAACAAGCAAGCAAACAACAACAAACCCTGGATTCCGGGAGAAGGGAGTTGTTCCTTGCTCCCAGAGCCTACTTTCAACAAGCTTAAACAACCATGATGATTTGCCAATATAACATAAATTATGTCACACCTAGCTTTTTATATCTTAAAAAATATTTGACAATACATCATGTTAGCTTATTTTGATAGTGTCCATTGTCAGCTCTGAGTGTGGTATCTGGGGGGATGCTAATGACTCTCAGTGAACCTGACTGAGGTTTGCTACATGGTAGATGCTGGCGCTCTTTTGAGCTCACACAGCCTCCTTTCTGGCTTCCCCAAAGGACAGCACTCCTGTCTTCAAGCAAAAGCGATGGAGATCGGCTGAAGGTACACCCAAAGCTTCCATCAAGCGCCGGTGAGGACCGTGCCACACTGCTGGGCATTGCCATGATGGCCTCCTCCGTGCTGATGTTCTTCCTGTTGGGAACCACTGTGTTGAAACCCTTCATGCTCAGGTTAGACACAGACCAAGACCCAGGGCTGGATCCAGCACAACACTGGAGTCCATTCTCCTGAGTGCCCCCTGGAGCTTGCCTGTTCATGCTGGAGACAGTGTGGGTAGAGAGGGAGGTGGGAAATCTTCCTTTGTTCCCCAATGTTCACACTCCACATGAGTTTCTGCACAGGGTCGCACTGCCAGTTGAGACTGGCATGGTTGATAGCGCCAAACCTCCCTTGCTAGGAGATGCCAGCCGGCTTTCTCTCTGATATTGCCACCAGGAGAAAGCTCTCTCTGCTCCTGCCTTCCACCCCTGTAACTTACTGGGATCTTGCATCTGCTTGCTCCCTAATTACTGTGGCTGCTAGGGTGCCCAGGGCCTAGTTCATCCTCGTGACCATAAGGGATTGCGTGATCTTCTAGTTGGACATTTGCAGCTCTTCATCGGGGTTCCTTCCAGCTTTCTCTCCTTTTCTTGTTAATCCTTTTTCCTCACCTTAAAACAAAACAAAACAAAACATGTGACTACAGCTCTATGTGAGCTGAAGAAATTTCACGTACATATGGGCAGATCCAGAGGGAGGGAGAGAAGATGTGGAGATGAGGAGAGAGGGAGGGAAGGTGAGAAGAGAATAAAAGAAAGGAGAGAGAAGGGAAGGAGAGAAGAGAAAAAAAGAGAGGAGACAAAGAAGAGAAACAGCAAGAGAATGAGAGAGCAAGAAAGTAAGAAAGAGAGAGGAAGAGAGAGAGAACCAGCTAGCTACGTCAAGGGAATATTGGGGAGTCAGTCCTCTCCCTCGACCATGGGGGTCCTGGGGATTGGACTCAGTTTCAGGCTTGGTGGCAGGTGCCTTTTCCCTCAGCGCCTGCTCTTGGAAGCCAGGCGTGTCAGATCCCCTGTAGCTGGAGTTACAGGAGGGTTCAAGTAGACTGATGAGTTCTAGAATTCAAACATGTGTCTTCTGCAAGAGCAGTACGTGATCTTAACTGCTGAGCCATCTATCCAGCCTCCAGAGTATTTGTTTAAACATGCAATGCAGCAGGGAGATGGTTGCAGGAGCTCTGTTGCAAACTGATGTCAATCTGTGGCTCATATTTGTTTCACTTTCTAAGTATTTCTGGAAATTGCTTAATGGGATCCACGAGGAGCATCTCATTGTATCATTGTCCACCGTCTCAGGGAGCAGTCCGGTAAAAGATAACAGTTAAGATTTCTAGGCTATGGGAGGGGGGATTGGAGAGATGGCTCAGAGGTTAAGAGTAGAGCACTGGCTCTTCTTCCAAAGATTTCCAGGATAAGCTGGGCACAGTGGCTCATACCTGTTATCCCAGCACTCAAGGAGTCAGAGGCAGCAGATCGCTCTGAGTTCCAGGCCAGGCTGGTCTACAAAGCAAGCCCAGAAGAGCTGGGCTACACCAAGAAATCCTGTCTTGAGAAAAAAATATTTTTCCAGGGTGATTCACATCTCTCTCCACCCCTCATTTTCAGTCAAAGGGAAAGAGACTTGCAGGAGATGAAGCCAGCAAAATCCCAGCGCAAACGGTGAGGCACATGAGAGGCTCTACCCATATCAGAGGGACTATTGGCAACTCAAGGCTGAAGCAGGAGGGAGTCACTTTCTTCAGGGATTCCACCCCTTAGAGGCTACCCATGCTCCAGTGGATGGTCCTACAGTCATGTGCATTCAGGTGTCAGTGAAGGGACCCTGAGGGTTAAAACACATGGAAGTGGTAGGGGGAAAGAAAAAAGGTGTTGCATTTGATCAAACCCACGTGCACCTAAGAAATGCTCAAACAACAAAAAGAGGGATGCATGGCAAAGGAACACGGAGCTACTGAAGGAACCCCATCATTTTTAAGCTCTAAATACTTTGTTCCACCTCAAGGGTTCGGGCTTGGCCCTAGTACAAGTGGGTCCATATCACTCACTATTGAAGCCGAGGTCCCCGAGACCATGGCGTGTGCATGCATACGCCCACTAATAAACACATTTTTTAAAATTAAAAACATTTGAGTTCTGGTGATTGAACGTGGGTGATTAGGCTTCATGTGGCAAATGTGTTTACTGTCTCTCCAGCATTTCTGTAATTTTTCACTCGCCCCCCCCCCCCCCTTTTTCTTAGGCTGCTTATAACGGCTGTGTTTGTCTTGGGGGTTGCAGTCACTTAGCTGTTTTCGGAGCACCTGTGTAGTTTTGTGTTGCAGCTGTACTGGGCACTGTTACACTGGGCAGTTGGCAGTTCACACCCCTTGAGTTCAGAAACCTGACCCAGTCCTCCCATCAAGGCATCAGCTGGGCTGGATTTTCTTCTAGGGGCTATAGAGAATCCTTCTAGAGGATTCTGGAGGCTGCCCATACTCCTTGGCTTGTGTGGTCTGAGGTCCCCCAGCTTCTAGCTTGCCTCGTGATAGCCAGCCCAGCACTTTGAGGTAGCCTCCGCTGCCGCATACACCCATCACCAGTGGTTTCCATGTCCTAGGCCTGAAGGACAGATTTGTGCCTTAGATTTGTTCTAAAGGAAAATGATTGTTTATGGCTAATATTGAGAGCATGGTAAGAAAGCGCTGACTCTACACAGGGCTTTTTAACTGCTCTGAGTGTTAAGTGGGAATAAAGGAGGCCGCCCATCTTGCAGGAGGGCCATGGGAACAGAGCCCACAGACAGTCTGTTAGTCGCTTTTCACTGTGGCCGAACACCTGCTGAGAAGCACCTCAAGGAAGGCAGTCTACGTTTCAGCTCCCACGTCGGGGGTACAGTCCGACGTGATGGGACGGCATAGACGACAGTGGTGTACGCTGCTGGGTCTCTCTCTCTCTCTCTCCACGATCTCGTTCCCTGGGTTGGTGCCACTCACTCAGGTCAATCTCGAAACTTCCTTACAGACATGCCTGGAGCCTTTTGTCAGTCTATTATAGAGGGAAGTCAGGACAGGAATTCAGGACAGGAACCTGGAGGCAGGAACCGTGACGGGAAGGCTGCTTACTAGCTTGCTCTCGGGCTCATTTGCTTGTTTACACTCAGCTAGTTTTCTTATACAGCTCAGGCTGCTCTGCTAGGGATAGGGCTACCCACAGAGGGCTGGGTTCTCCAACACCAATCATCACTCAAGACAAGCTCTCACAAGGCATGGCTACAGGCCCATTTGATCTAAGAAATCCCTCTTCCTCAGATGAGTCTAGGCTGTCAAAGTGACAGCCTACCCTACCTAGGACAGCACATATAGGTTGGTTCTCAACACCACTGTGGGGTCTTCATGACAGGATCCTTGTCTTATGTTCACAGTACCTGTGACCGTTTAAACAAGAAATGTTCCCTATCAGCATTTGAGCTCTTGGTCCTTGGTTGGTGGTGCTGTTTAGGGGAGATTTAATAGGTGTGGCCTTGCTGGAAGAAGTATGTCACTAGAGGGGACCTTGAGAATTTAAGAATCCACACTTCCGGTTTGATCTCTGCTCTGTGATTGTAGTTGAGGATTTCACCTTTCCGCTTCCTGGTCCTGCCACAACACCTAATTGCTGCCATGCCTCGCTGTATGGCAGCTTTTATTCCTGTGGACCCAGAAGCCTAAGTAAACTCTGTAAACTCTGTGTTCCACGAGTTGCCTTTGGTCATGGTGTTTTATCATAGCGACAGAAAAGTAACTAATACAGTATGCACGCTATTCTCTGTACACAACACAGGGCAAGCTCTCAGGAGTGCCTTCCCAGGACAATGTAGCCAAGCCTACTGTGATGGTGCATATGCCATTGCGCCATGCTCCCTGACACACAGAGATGAACAGGATGTAGCTTGGCACCCTAACGAATGCGCTGACACAAAATCACACCCTGTTTCTGGGTGGAGATCTCAGCCCACTTGCCTCTGACTCTGGAAGCAGGGTGGGGAGGGTGAACCAGGCTTACTACCAGAACCCCTTCCAAAGACTCACTTTTACCAGCAAGCTGGTAGATACGTCTAAAAATGACTGTGTGAGGGATGGTGAGTTATCCAAGTATGACTCTTGGTGGCTCAGTAGGTAAAGTAGGGTAATGACATTGAGTTCATTTCTCATAATGCTTTTTTTTTTTTTTTTTGAGACAGGGTTTCTCTGTGTAGCCTTGGATGTCCTGGACTCACTTTGTAGACTAGGCTGGCACACACAGAGATCCACCTGCCTCTCAGAGTGCTGAGATTACACACCCAGCTGCAACACTTGTACCTTAACAACTATGCGTTTAGAGATTCTCAGGCCTCCTCTCAGACCTCCTGAGTTAGAATCTCTGAGAGAGAACACATGGAATCCACGCTAGCCAGTCTTGATAACAAATAATCTTCTTCAGGGGACTCTAATTCTGGCAGTGCTGCATTAGGGCTGGCAGAGAGGAAATACACCCCTAGGATCAGAACGAAGGTACTTGTCACCTGGCTCTTTTCCCATCTGTCCCCCTGACCAGGGTGTGATGTGATGTTTGTGCCGATGTATGCTGCAAACCAACAGCTCAGTGTGCCTCAGAACACAGAAATTGATTTTCCAATAGCTGCCTTCAGAACCTCACATCCCCACTCAGGAAGAACACTTTTCTTTCTATTTCAAAGCTCTCATAGAGAAGAATCAAACTGCACGGCCATCCACACTCACATTGAGGATGATTGGCTGGACTTTGCCTTCACCTGTGAGGGCAGCTGCCAGGACCAGGGCGGGTACCCCTGTCTACAGGTGTTTGTTAACCTCAGCCACTCAGGAGAGAAAGTGCTTCTCCACTATGATGACGAAGCAGCCAGAACCAACCCCAAGGTAATGTGATTTGACAATTAAACTTTTCTGCTGCCCTTCCAAAGTGCTGTCCTGAGCAGCGAACAAGCCATCTGGGAAACATCCGTTTCCTTCTAGTAAACATTTCTTTCTTGGAGTCTGTCTGTCTGTTTCTCTCTCTGTGTGTTGTGTGTGTCATATGTCCCAGAATGCCCCCAAACTTACTCTGTAGTCAAGGATGGCCTTGGACTTTGGAATCATCTATCTCTCCCTCCCCCGTAATGGGATTACCAGGCCTTGTTATGAGGGGCTGTGGGCTGAACCAGGCAGGGGCTTGTGTGTGCCAGGCTCTACAGACTGAGCAAAGCCCAGCCTCTTCTGAGTATGTTCAGAGTATTCCCATCAGGGTAGATGAAGCTGAGAGCAGTTTTGGAGAATGCAGAAAGGAGAGGTATATTCCAGGTCCCTGGCTTGGTGCGAAGTCCTAAGTGGGCAATGTCTCCCTACTGTAGCTCTGTTTAGAATGAATTCAGTCTTCCTTCAGCCAAGTTAGTAATTCTTAAGACACTTAAAGGACTTATTTAAAAAATTACACCACTGGTTCATGTGACTTAGAGTGCACAGTTACACATAACTAGAGAGGATTAGATAACATGCTACAGTTTAGTGTTGTTGGTGATTAAACACTTAATCTAAGGTTTTTGATTTTCTATTGTGGATGCAGTCATTTCTAAAATCACACACGAGGAAATATATGTGTGTGTGTGTATGTGTAGGCTCGAATATCATGGTGTATCTCTGTGCCTGTGTGTGTGAGCAGGAATGCCACGGTGTGTGGAGGTCAGAGGGTAACTCACAGGCATCAGTAATTCTCCTTCCACCATGTAATTAATCCTGGGGATAGAACAGCAGTCAGGCCTGGCAGCAAGCACTTTTACATACGGAGCCATCTCCCTGGCTCCATGTCTCACATTTCTGTAATCCCCTCAACATGGGAGCCCAAAAGCTAACAGACATGGCCATTTCATTCTGTGCCCTTCTGCCGACCCTTCCCGCCACACTATCCAGTGTGACGATGTTCTTGTTCAGTTTCTCTGTGTAGCCTTGGCTGTCCTCCCTTTGTAGACAAGGCTGGCCTTGAACTCATAGCCTGCCTCTGCCTCCCTGAGTGTTGGGATTAAAGGCCTGCACCACCACACCCATGCCTGAGAGCATGATTCCCCACCACAACATTAGCCTGGAGTCCTTAGTGCTAGCCACTGTTGACAATGCTTTTCCCCTCCTCTACACTCGCAGTGCTTTTACACACCCAAGTGTCACCGAGACAGGGATGGTCTGCTCAACAGTGCCCTGGACATCAAGGAATTCTTCGATCACAAAACCGGAACTTTCCCCTGCTTCTACAGTCCGGATGGCCAGCTGGGAGTTGTCCTGAGGAAGTCTGGCCACAAGGTTGTCTTCCACTGCTTGTTTTGGCCTTCGTTGACTTTGCTGGGCGGGGCCCTGATTGTTGGCCTGGTGAAGCTGACACAGCATCTGTCCTTTCAGTGTGAGCAGTACAGCACAGTGGTGAGGGCTCAGGCTGGGGCCAGAGCACGCTCTGTGGGCTGGCACAGGTCTACGCTGTACAGTGTAGCAAAGAGCCAGGAAGGGAACAGAGAGAGCTGAAGGGGGCGGTCCAGCTCTCCCTCCCTGAGATGCTCCAGCTGAAGGCTTGACCACTGCCAGGCACACTTGTGATCCCAGCACTTGGGTGGCTGAGGCAGGAGGACCAGGTCAAAGCCAGCTTGGGCTATATACAGATCTTGTCTAGGAAAAAGATCAGCTGGGGTTGTAGCTTCCTGATAAGAGCACTTCCCTCGAAAGCACAAGGCCCCGTTTGGATCCCCACCACTAGGAACAATCACATCTGCTTACAAACCTGCTGTGTGAAGGACAAAGTGGGCACCACAGCTTTTCACCTGAGAAACAGTCTTTAAATGCTGACCACTTTCTATTAATTCTGAAAATATGTATGATTCCAACAGTTTCTCTTTTTTTTCAGTCTCCTTCTCACAAGCCAAAGAAGCATTTTTCTCCTCATAGGCAAAAGGAATTCAAGACAGCTCTCATGAAACTTTAGCTCCCCATGAGATTTGTCAGCATATGACAAGCCATTACTATGTCTGTCGAGCACTGAGCTGTCAGCTCGTGTAGCTCACATGAAAATATTTCTCATAGAAAAAAACACCGGAGGCTGAGGAGATGATCAGCTGGTAAAACATTTGCCTTACGAGCATGAGAACCCGAGTTTGATTTCTCAGACGCATCCAAGACTAACAAACATAAAACCAAGCAAACGAAACAACAAAGACAGGCTTTGTGGCCTGTACCTATAACCCCAGCATTGAGGAGGAGGGCACAGGTGATAGCCAGAATAGCCAAAGTTGGGAGCTTTAGGTCACCAAGGTGGACAGTGCCTGAGGGCCACCTCTGAAGTGGCTCTGGTCTCCACATACCTACACATGCATGCAGGTGTGTGGACACACACACACACACTCACACATACTCACACTTAGCAGCTCATTTACAAGTAGATAAAAACCATCAGAAATGTAAGAAAACCCAGGTCTGCCAACATTTATTGTGGCTCATTCTTCCTTTACGCTTCATTCTAAGAGGAAAGCTGCTGCCTAGCAAACCCACTGCCTACAGTTGCTTATATTTGAATTTGTTGTGCTTTTTACTTTGTAGCATTTTCTAGCTAATTATCCTTTCCCTAAGCTTTGAGTCTCTGCACTTTGAGGGAACAGGAGAAATGACTGCAAGTGTGAATCGGACCAGAGGCCAACATTCACCTCGCATAACACCCACTGTATGGTTACACACTAGTCAGGGTCCTGTAGCAGTCAGCCCCTGGGCTGGAAATGGCTCAGTGGTTAAGAATGATTGCTTTTCTTGCCAAGGACCTGGGTTCGGTTCCCAGCACCCACATGACAGCTCACAACCATCTGTAGCTTTAGTTCCAGGATGTCCAACACCCTCTCTGGCTTTTGCAGCCACTGTGTATGTGGTGCTTATACATACATGTAGACAAAACACTTAATACACATAGAAGTTGTTTTTGTTTTTTCCTAAACAGGGTTTCTTTGTACAATGCTTGGCTGTCCTGGACTAACTTTGTAGACTAATCCTGAACTCACAGAAATCCTCCTGCTTCTGCCTCCCAGAGTGCTGATTACGGTGTGTGCCACCACACCCGGCTCATAAAAGTTTTTTTTTAAAGTCAACAAAGGTGACTACATGTCACAAGACTTCCATCAAGACCTTCCAGACTGAGTGTAGGAGCTGAAGAGCTTGCTGTTTTCCCAAAGTACTTCAATGTATCTTTACAGTTCACATACAGAAATGAAAACCCATCATTGTAGACAACGGAATGAGACTTTTGAAATAGGTTTTGACATGTTGGTGTAACCAAGTCACACTTGATTCTAAGCCAGCTTAAAGCCTCTTAGTAATTAATTTCACGTCACAAATTAGGAAAGTGGATAACTCATAGAGTAAGAGCTGTAGGCAATGGAGTCTTGGCATCTCAACTTGTCTGCTGAGGGCCGGATGCACTTCTGGCCAGGCTTTCGTTGTATTCATAACTTTCCCAGTGTCAGTCCTTGGGAATGTCTCTTTTGATGATCTTCAGGCATAAAGATGAGGTGTGTGGAACTGCAAGCTTAGTTTCTGGTAACTTACAGCGGTGATGGAGATCCAGTAACTGTGAGAACCTTGCTCTGAGCAGAAGCAGCCTACTTGGTCGTGTTTGGTGACACTGGGAAGCAATAGATCTGCTGTGTAAAGGTTGTAAATGTTGCTTTGTGTACCAGACCTCCCTGTAATAAAATACACTATGTCCAAAAAGCAAAAAAGCCCTGCAAATGGAATCTGTCATTTTCTCAAATTAAAGGTAAATTTCAGATCCATTTCCTAGTAAATTTGAGTTCCAACTCAATGACATAACGGTCTTTGTGCGTTCCCCTACCACCCTGTACCCTGAAGCCTCAGGTGTGTTTCATCAGGCACAGAGGCTTTCCAAGCAGATAGAGACGATCAGTTCACCTCAGGGAAGACAGATGTTAAGTTGGGGAACACAATCAATTAGAAGTTCAAACCACTTGGCAGTCCAGTAAAATGTAGGGGTGACAGGCTTAGTTGTGAATGCAGGGAGCATCAATGCTCATTTCTTCAGTCACACACAGCCCAGATGTACCTTCTTTGCCATTTGTAACAGAGGACAGAGCAATTTGCTTCTAAACTGACATCAGTAGAGTACAGACTCTAGTTTTCAACAGACATGAAAAATAGCTCACTTCTACACACACATGTACATATATGTCTACTTAAAAACAAGTGTCTAAATCTGTTTTTAGTACTCAGGCCTCTAATTTTTTTTTTTTTTTTTTTACTACTGGGAATTGAACCCAAGGCCTAAGTGCGGTAGGTACACCCTACCACTGAGTGATACTGTGTATGCTAGCATACTAGCTAAAATATATATTAATAATTCTTTATGCTTTAGAGATATTAACATTCATTTCTCTACTACACATTGCCAGGGCAGGAAAAAAAAAGGTTCAATTTTTTTTTTTTTTTTGGGTCTGTTTTTTTTGAGACAAGGTTTTTCTGTGTAGCTCTGGCTTTTGTGAAATTCAGAGATCCACCTGCCTCTGCTTTGTGAGTGCTGGGATTACAGGCGTGTGCCACCATACCTGGCTTGAGCCAGTTTCTCAATCAAATATTCTTAGTAATTACAAAACAAACCAGACTCTTCATAGCAACACTAGTTTGCCTTAGAGAAACAGCAAAAGGGATTCTCACAGCTCTTGGCTTACACCACACACTAAGGACCATTTGGACACAGGTAAATTTTCTTTCATTTTAATGAACAGCATGATGATACAGACTGCAGTTAGGGACAAGCAGACACTGACAGTGGTGAACAGAAGACAGTGAGTGTAGCCACAGGCTGAACTCCTTCCTGGGAACAGAACTACAAAAGAGGTCTTTATCTTAGTGAGTTGTAGTCATCTATGTTCTAAGTCAGTCATTCTCAAGCTTCCTAATGCTGCGACCCTTCAATACAGTTCCTCATGGTGTGGTAACCTCCAACCAGAAAATTTTTCATTGCTACTTTATAACTGTTATGAATCATAATGTAAATATTGTGTTTTCCAATGGTCTTAGGCAACCCCTGTGAAAGGGAAGTTTGACTCCCGGGTTGAGAAAGGCTGTTCTAAGTGAACAGCACATGGAGCCTTGCTATGCTAAGTATTTGTGGGGCTAGGTTTAAAAGAACACTAAGAATGTTTCTAACTGGTGCCTCTTACACACAACATCAGCTCATGAATGAACAACAAATGGAAAGAAGCAACCTGGCAGAAAAGGGAGGGGCAAGCTCCTTGCACAAGTGGTGTATAGTCATCTTTTCATAGTGCTATATTCCCCAAGATATTAAAGTGTTGTGTTCAAAAGCAATTTTTAAAAATTATTTATTTACTTATTTTATGTATGAGTGCTCTATCTGCATGTACAGCTGCATGCCAGAAGAGGACATCAGATCCCAGTATATATGGTTGTGAGCTACCATGTGGTTAACAGGAATTGAGCTCAGGACCTCTGGAAGAGCAGACAGTCCCCTCAACTGCTGAGCCATCTCTCTAGCCCAGCAATGTTTTTTTTTTAAATTGATTTTTTAAAAGTTTTTATTTAGCCAAAGACTAAATGACAATAAAACTATCAACTGAATTTGAAACTTGGGCTCTTGGAGCTGGTGTGAGGTACAGGATCTGTAATCTCAGCACTATGGAGCTAAGACTACAGAATCTTGAGTTTGAGGCCAGCTTGGGCTACGGTGAGACCCTCTGCCAACAATAAAACGACAGAACCCTAGGAAATCCACCATCCTCTCCACCACAAATTCCTTTGGTTCCATAACTAAAGACATTTCTAGAAATATAAAAGCCACACTTTCTAGCCACTCCTAGGAACAATCAATAGACGTAGCTACATTTGAAATTCATACTAGAACTAAGAAGCTTAGTAGGGACTTTCTAGAGGCAAGAGTATCCTAGGCTGGCTCTGAACTTAGTAATGTAAGTGGAGAATAACCTTGAACTTTTAATCTTCAGGCCTCTACCTCCTAAGTGGTGAAGTTACTCTGTATGAGGTGCTGGGGCTCAAACCCAGGACTCTATGCATACTTGTTGGGCTCTCTGACACTGAGCCACATTCCCATATATTAGTAGGACACTGAACATTTTCTGCCTCTTTGTTAACCTTGATCAACAAAAACGATAACCTAAAAATATATACTTCTTCCACAAAATTATTACTATGGCACATGAAATGAGCTTATAGAAAGTGCACTTGGCTTATAAAATATTTTTCCTTTTTATAATTACTACCATGAAGAATGGAGTCCACTGTTGTTAGTAATGAAAATCAGCCCTAACAATACACTATACAGAGATTCACTTTAATCCTGCCCACCAACATTCATCTCCTTCCGCCTCCCATTCCTTTTGCTCTAACAAGCACATGGTTGAGACCCTGCCATAGTCAAAAGCCAAGCAGAGAAAAAGGCACTGCGTAATCAACGGAGGAGAGTCCACACTAACTCATTCAAGACTCCAGGCCAACCTGGGTGTCTCAGAGTGAATTCAAATCCCTTCTGAACTTTAGAACTTTGATATCTGTTTACACCTTTCATTAAGTATCCCTGACTAGTGCTAACAATAAAGCAGAACAAAGGAGCTGTGGATGTCAGACTCAAGAACTGGTACCATGAGTTGCTCTGACCACGTAGCTTTTCCAAAGTGGCTGGAACCATACAATTTAGCCCCATCCCCAAACCCCCTAACCGTCTCCTGTACCATGTATAGCAAGGCATGCAAAGTCTGACTTGTAAACCTAAAATGCCGGTGCTACTGTACTGTGCGTACTGAGGTATCGAGTAGCAACTTGGCTACTTTCCTTACAAACATTTGGAGATGGAGCTACCAGGGTTATCAGGAGTACGATTCTTTTCAGCTTGAGCCCAACATCTTTTCAGAGAGTAAAACCAACTTATATATGTATGTATAGTTTCTTAGGCCATGACGCAAATCTGTTTACAGTTTTAACTGAAATGCTGTTTGTTTTAAACAGCTCAGCTGTACTGCTCTGTACTGCTTGCTCTTAAAGATGCTGTCAAGACTGGGTTCAGCCTTCAAAATTCCAAACTGGAAGCGATTCCTTGTGCAATATATCCCCATAACTTCCAGCCTTCCTTTGGACATGCCCCTCTGGGATTTCCCCTGCTTAGGCCCCTCCTCCACATCTCCCTTCCCCCAACACCTGAAGCAGACATACTACAATCTAAGATGCCACAAAATGCCTTTGAATGGATATTTTAGCAATGTTGTGGACACAAAAATAATTCCTTAAGGTGGATCCAGCCCACGCCTGCAGTTTGCACAGACACAGAAAAAAGTGGAAACTGTAATACTCAGAAAAGATTAACATAGAAGGTTTAACATGTTGCTGGAAATTACATTTCTTCAAAGAGCTGGCAAGCATGGACTACTGACTGAAGTATAAATCAAACAAAATGACAAAAATTATGTTAAGAAACAAACCAAGGTTTATGTGCTGTGAGGTTTCCACTGTACCCTAAAGACAGGCTCCTCATCTTTTCTGTGATGCCAGCTTAGTTCCTGACAGCAGAAAACACAGAGGGACTGTGCTCTGTCTATGTGATGATTACCAATCTGTTTCAGATAAAGTTCAAGAGGGCATGCACATCTAATCAAGTAATCATTCCTGATTAATAAGAACTACACTTTACACAAAATACTTTATCAGCAGCTGTTTTCATCAAAAAAAAAAAAAAAAAAAAAAACCAACAGTCAGTTTCACAGTTGAAAAAGTTACACATTAAAATATTTTACAATTCATTATATATTCACCAGGTTCCCATTTCCTGATGGGCAGTAATATAAAGCAGAATAGAAGGGACAACCTTAAAGTTGATGACTCTGACACCAAGTTTTACAGAGGACATGAAGAACCACAAAAAGTCTCAGGTTCTACCATAAAATAGCAACCAGATTCCATTCTTCTTTTAAAAAATCTAATTAGAAACATCTTTAAAACCAAACAGAAAGCAAACAAACAAACAAATCAAACTCCACAGATGAACAGATTTCAAATTAACAGCAGTCTAAAACTCTCCAACTAAAGGTCTCGTATAGCTGTGAAGATGGTAAAAAGTTAAAGCATGATTTGAGTTAGTGTTATTTAGTTTCTTTCTTTAGATTTGCTTTCTTTCCTTCCAGAAATAATTACTGATGGAACATCCTCAAGTGACTTAGTGAAATTATGGAGCCAAAGTCATTTACACAATATTCAGTGTCAAGGATGGTCATGTACAGAGGTGACGGGTCTTTCTACTACTGAAGCACCAGGGAGTGGCACATTTTATTGCTCTCTGAAAACAGATTTTGATCACCCGAGCTTCAATTCAAGTTTGGTCTTTGTCTTTTTTTAATACAACCTTTCTCCTTTCTTTGCTTAAACTCTTTATAGAATACAGATTTTTCTCTCAAATAGAATTAATGTAGTTGTAAATGACAAAATAAGCTATGTGGCTGTGTTTTAATTGTGCAGAGACCCTGGAAGGTGAAACTGGGGCAACTAATTAAACTAATGCTTAAACAAAACAACACACACACACACACACACACACACACACACACACACCAAAAAACTAAAACAAACAACCAAACAAAACCTATCAATTTTGTGCAAGGAGGCTCGCGGCTTTTTTTTTTTTTTTTTGGCACCCAGGAAAACACAGTTCTCTGTAATTCTTCAATTTCCACCATCAAAGCTGTAGATCTGTACCATGTCACTGAGTTTGACTGTAATAATCCCTGATATAGAAAAGAATGGGATGTTAGTACCTAGCAACTGCATTATCTAAGTAACACAAAGTGTTAAATGCCAAGTTTAAATAAGTTAGGAAGTTTTCTATATCTGCAAAAGAAGCTATCTGGTTTTCTGCTTAAAACAGAGTTTAAATTCTGCTTAACTATTCCAAGACAGTTTACAGAACTAAGTTCCCTAATCTTCAGGTTTATTTTTCTTGTTGGCAATAATATATACATGCTTTAATGAAGTACCTAAATCTTCAATAATTATGCCCTTTAAGGGTTCTAAAATAGCCAGATATTAAGAGTATTTTTATTAGAGTCCCCTGTTCACTATTCAAAACTTCTACATAGGTGTCTGACCTCACGGATGAGCGCTGTAAAGGGATTCTGTTCTCTAGAGCGTAGTATGCGCTCTTCATAAAGACGCTCTCCAGTAACACGCCTAAGTTAGGAACTGTCAGTAAATTATTGCACATTTTTTATTTTTTTCTTTTTATTTATTCTTTTTTTTTCTTTTTTTTCCTTTTTGGTGTAGCATCTGAACATCTGCTAAAGCTATTTTCTAGGACATGAATCATTCAAACACTGAGTAGAAATCTAGAGTGACCACTAACATTAGCCCTACATCTTGGATGGTTGCTTTTCAGAATGCTTAATAACGCAATCTGTGCTTGAGTGGGATTTAATGAAGCTGGAGACCTGACCACTTGGAAATGGGACATGACAGTAACATGGGTTAATGTCCTACTTTTATCATTGAGATATGGATAGATAGCTTACGAAGGTAAAAAAAATTCATGGTTTCTAGTCTCTCATAATATAAAAAGTCATTCATGACCAGACCTCAGTAGAGGGATTTAAGAGTCAGGATGATAGTCTACTTTGTATTCATTTTAGTAACTGGTTTCATATGATTGTGCCATTCTCAACTATAGATGATGGACGATGAGGGCATCATGTAAAATCAGACAGCAGTGAAAAGAAAGCGTGTGCAGTTCAATCTGTTCCTTAAGGAGTCATATAGGGGTATCTGGATAAATGGAATAGTGCCTGAGCCTCATCTATAGACCAAGAGAAAAGCTAACCATGCTGTTGCCAACAATAAAAAAATTTGGGGTGCAAAACAATGCATGACTATGGGACAGATTATGTAAATAAAGAATATATATTAATGATAGTTTCTATAATATAAATAGCCTTTAATAAAAAAAAATAATCTTTTTAATAACATTAATACTCACTTCTATTTTCTGGAAAACATGCATGAAAAAAAAAGTATTCAGTTCAATTGCAAAAGGAGAAACAATCAGCTTAAAGTGAATACTGTACAAGTCAGGAACAGGAGCTCCCTGCTCTCCTTCCTCTATGGTCACTGCTGTACTTGATGCGAGCCCAGAATTTCCCTAGGAAATAAGTCAGATCCTTGTAAATACTGTCCAGAAAAAAAACCAATAAAAAAACAAAACCCAACAAAATGCAGCTGTCTGCAGGTTATCATTTTTGACTGCTTTCAAAACTGCAGGTGAGACCCCACGTCCAAAGGTTGTTTGTTCAAAGCAAAAAGCGAGTCCCTTCGCCCCAAGTGCATGAGTTAAAATACCTACTTCAAACATAAGTCTGAACAGCAATGGGAAAATAAGAATTTTCATTCTTCTTCAATTTCATGTAACTTAACATAAGCTTCAGCTTACTCAGACCTAAAGCGGGTCACAGCCTTGGTTGTGTCCACATTTTAAACAGAACACTGGCAAGACAAACAGAACAGCATTCTCTTTTCATCTCCATCATTTGTATGTATTTTGGGGATTTTTGTTTTGTTTTGTTTTTTTTAAAAAAAGATACAAACAATCTTCAAAGTTTACCTTTTTTTGGACTTAAGGCATAACATGAAATTGCTCATTATTCTAAAGCTGAATTTTGAAATGAACTAGTTTAGTGCTATCAAACCCTGTTTGCGTGGACAGTGTTTTAATTATAGAGCATGTTGTTTCTGTTCTTGCTCAAGTCCTAATGTTGTTCCTGACTGTGTCATCCCCATGCCACTGTCTGCCTGCTGCCACTCACTGCCATGCAGTGGAGAAGCCGGGCACCAGCTTGCAGTTCGCAGCTCCCATCTCAGTTCAATGCATGCTGCTTGATGGTGTGGAAGATCCAGTCCATCTTTGTTGTCCAGCCGCCATGATGTGCATCATTCATCTGTTTTGTGAAATACTCCAAAGCCTCTTGCTCAGTTTTGTCCAGGGCTAGAGTCTTTCGGATATATGCAATATCATCAAAGGACTGCAGTTCTGGCATTCCGGAGCCAAGCATCATTGAAAAAAGGTTGATGAAGAGGTTGGCATGCTGCCGAATTGCTAGGTAAGCCTTGTAACACATCTCCTGAAACCTAAAGTGCAAAGAACATTTGGTTAGAACGTGCTAGCACTCTGACTTTAAAGGACCAGCACAGCTGTCTTGGGCAAAGGCCTTGTAACTACCATCCCTCTCCCTCAGCTCACACTATTCTAAAATATGTACTGTTCAAATGAGTATTTTACTGCCTACCAAGCACCTAAAATATAGTGCTTGGAACACTCAGGTTCAATATTTATTATACATTTGAACTGGTTTAAACTAAAATAAGGCCTCAAGGGTTTAGGTACTTAGGGTCAGAGGGACTGACTTATACACAAAACAGAATTTTATAAAAGACTTTTGAAATCTAAGATAGATTGAAGATGTACCAAGGTGGTCAGAAAAAGAACAAGTATACATAAGAGTTATAGTTTGCTGGCTTTACTCAGGTTAGGACCAAAACCATGTCCTAAGCACTACACATTGCTTGACAAAATAAGATGGAGTTTAATTATTTTAACAACAGGGAATAGTTTCAGTGTTATAAGGTTTAAGGATTACTTCCTTTATAGGCCTCACTTAGCTTAATGAATAAAATCAGTTTTCATCTCTCCCAGTCCCCCAATATCATATAAATGAGCAAAATCAAAGACACTGCATGGTGCCTCTTCTCCAGCTCATCCACAGCTCCAATATAAGTAGCACATGCTATGCACAGCGGGCACCCTGCCCCCATCATGCAGTCCTGGGGCTCACCTCTCAAACTCTCTGGTCTTTGTGTACTCTTGGGCTCCTTTACTAATCACTATTAAGAAATCTTGCGTCAGAACAAATGGCACACGTTCCCGTTTATAGCCAAATTTTTTCTTCTTGTGATCCAAAAAGTGCCCAAAATCTATATGAAACAGCTTTCAAAAATAAGACATTACATTTTAGTTTAACATACAAACGTAAAGATGGTGACTTAATACATTTCAAGAGCCTGAAGCACTTTAAAGGCCCCACCTGTCCATCATCCTTCACCATGATGTTGCTATTGTGCCGATCTCCAATCCCCAAGATGAAGGTCGCCACACAGTACCCGGCGCACGACCGAGTGAACAGATCAATGGCCGCATCATATCTGCAGAGGGAAATATACACCATGGGTGGTGTGGAAATGGAGTGGCTGGGGCCAAACTGGGGAAATATGGCTAAAGCTTCTCATTAATATCGGGGGGTGGAGCGGGGTATCTTAAGACCTGAGAAGTTTTGAGATTAAGTTTTCAAGGAAATTTTTAGATATTCCTTGACCTAAGTGTAATTCTTACCAAAATGAAAGAAACATCCCTCATAATTCTCTCTACATGGCATATGTATGTGTGGTGTGTGAAGGTCAGGTTAATACTGGGTGCCTTCTATTACTCACTGTTACTCATATAAGGATTTGTTTTATTTATGTGAAGTTTTGTGTGGATGTATACACACCTGTGGAGGTCAGAAGAGGGTGTAGAATCCCATGGAGCTAGAGATAGGCAGATGAAGCTGTCAGACATAGTGCTAGGAAGGAAACTGGAGTCCTTCGGAAGAACAGCAAGTGCACTTAACCAGGGAACCACCTCCTCAGTATCTCACCACCTCATGTTTTGAGAGAAAGTCTCTCACTGAACCTGGGCCTCAACAGCTGGCTGGACTTGCTGGCCAGCCAGCCCTCAAGATAGAGTAGTTCCTGCTCCTTGCCCCAAGCACTGGGCTACAGACTCGTACCAGGAGGCTTTATAAGGGTGCCAGAGATTGGCCTTAGGTCTCATGCTTATACAATAGTACTTCATCAGCTAAGTCATCTCTGCAGGCCCCGATTTTTCTTTTTTCTAAGATAGGGTCTTATACTGTACCCCAGCCTGGCCTTGAACTCACAGCAATCCTCCTGGGTTAGCCTGTTGAGTGCTGGGATAAGCCACAATCTCCAGGAGAAAAAGTGTGTGTGTGTGTGTGTGGGGGGGGGGGGGCAGGGTCTCACTATGTAGCCCTGACTAGCCTGGAACTCATTAGGCTGGCCTTAAACTCAAGAAAGATCTGCCTGCCACTGCCTCTCTGTGTAGCATAGGCTGGTCTGGAACTCAAATATCCACCTGCTTCTACTTCCTAAGTCCTGGGATTAAAGGCATATGCCAGCATCGATAGCTTTGAAATTAATTTCTAAAATATCATTTTTTAACAAATTAGAAATGTGAATGTAAGGTTATTTTTACTTTTAACTATATATCTATGTATGGGCATGTGCACCTGAGTACAGGCACCATGGAGACCAGAAAAATGCATCAGAATCCCTGGAGCTGCAGTGGCAGCTGTCTGTGCTGCACCTCATCTGGGTCCTGGGAACTGAACTTGGGTCTTCCAGAAGAGGAGCATGCACTATTATCTGCTGCACGTCTTCAGCACCAAACATTCATTTTGTTCATAAGGATTAAATGTAAAAGAATGTGAGATACAAGGTGAATAATCAAGATCCACCAAATCATAAGCAATTTTATTCACTCACAATAACTGTAAGGTTTCAGTGCAATTCAGTGGCTTCAAGGAGCCCACGGAGCCACTAGCATGTAAAAAACACAAGCGCAAACTCACATCTCGCCTTTGTTCTTGTCCTTGAGCCACTGATGCAGTGTGTGGCTGTTGAACTGCAGCGCCCCCTTCAGGCCTCCTTTGCACTGGATCTGCATGATGGTGTGAGAGTTTCTCACTACCTCAATAAGCCCCACACAGTCCCCAATGGACAGACAGCCATAAGGCAGCATGCTGGAAAATTGACAAAGGCAGAATTTTAAAACAGCAAGTATTTTAAATTAAAATAAAAACTAAAATTACATCATTTTCCTACTTCCTCCCCTTAACCCTTCTCATGCACATTACTTTGCTCTATTCAAAAATTCTTCATTTCTTTGTTGATACTTACAAACATACCACATACACATAAACACACACACACACACACACACATACACAAAGCCCTTCCTAAATATGTAAGTACAATCTGCTCAGGCCATATAATGTCACTTGTATGTATGTTACCACTTGGGATTCGACAATCAATTTGGGGGCTCTTCTATCATGGGAAGACTATGTCTCCCACTTTTAGCTTTCCTTAGTTACTTGTAGTCTTTGTCTAGGGTTCAGGCCTCAAGTGATTTCCCTCTTCCCCCATAGCAAGTCTACTGGTATCATCTTTGTTCAGGTCTTATAAAACCGATTTTTTTTTTTTTCTTCTGCAACAGGGTTTCTCTGTTTTAATAGCCTTGGCTGTCCTGGAACTCTCTTTGTAGACCAGGCTGGCCTCAAACTCAAGAGAACCATCTGCTTCTGCCTCCAAGTTCTGGGATTGAAGCCATGTACCACCACTCCCGGCTCTGAAAATATATTTAATAGGCTCAAAATATCTACATTCAATTTGTAAATTTATCACGAATGACCTTAATCTTAACTTACTCTTTATTTTCTTTTTTGTATTGACAATCCTATTCCTAAAAAGGTATGAGTTCACCCAAAACCAAATCACTGAGTGTTAATGTGCCATTTGTATGGAATAAAACAGCATGTATTAAATATATGTCTGGGTTAGATGGCCCACAGAAATTTTACAAAATATCTATTCACTGATTGTTCTGTGTGTGCCTGTACGAGTTTACATGCATTGCACAAATGGAGGAGCCTGCGAGGATTACAAAGGGACATCAGATCCCCTGCAACTGGAGTTACAGGCAGTTCAAAGCTGCTACCTGGATGCTGGAAAGCAAATGTAGGTCCTGTCAAGAGCAGCAACTGCCATGTAGCAGTGGCCCATCTCCAGCCTTGGAGCCAGCTCTGTGCTTATAAACATCTCTATAAGAAGTACACACGAGCAGACTCTCTTATGCTGATGTTGCTTTTTCTTTCTTTCTGAAAAGGGTTTTACCTTGTGGTTTAGGCTGGCCTCGAACTCAGACCTTCAGGTCTCAGCTTCCAGAGTGCATGATTATAGGTGTGTGCCATCACTCTTAGTTTATATGTCATGCTTTAATTAAGTACATGAAGAAACATCTATATATAGGTAGCCAGGAAAATGAAGGATAATAGGATGGCTTTCCCTGATTCTATTCTATAATTCAATAAAGTATTCGAGTTGCAATGTGGATTATAACCCTGTACCAATAAACTTCACGGTGACATATAGACTGACTTGTATCTGTGTGTTATAACATTAAAGACATTATGGGTTCCTGTACTGGTCATTAAAAAGATACTCTAGCTTGGGAGTTTAAAAATTTTTCTAAATGCTGATGCTTTTTTATATTATAACATAATAAAAAAATAAAACATATTTTTGGTTTGGTTGTGATATAATCTGGTCTACCTTAAACTGCCAATCCTCCTGCCTCACACTCAAGTACGGGATCATGTGTACACCATGCCCAGCCACAATTATTTATGCTACTACTAATCTCTTTCACAAAGTCTAAGCTAGGGAATACTGATAAACAGGTTTTTCACAATTCTAATATTCCTTCTAAAATCCAAATTTTTATCACTGTCAACAAAACCACCTTAGTTGTTTTCCTTCACAAGACGCAAGAAGGAGGTTCATCTTCAAAGAAAACACCTGCCAAACAGCTTATCTAATTTATGGCTTGTCTATTAGATGTTTTAGTTTTGCTATTTTGGGAACAGAAATTTGTTATATAGCCCTGGATGGTCCTGGACTTGTAAGGTAGTTCAGGTTGGCCTGAACTCTAGATTCTCCTGCCTTAGTATTTTGACTGCAGGGCTTATAGGGATGTATCTACACTTAGATTTGTCACTGTTTTTCAAGTAAAAATGGTACTCCATGAAAAGGCTAGTTTTACAACTTGCATCCATAAATGTTCTTCTGTGATCTAACCATATTTGGGGATATGGACGAAGTGGTTTTAGGTACTTCTTCCTTGTTCTTTTGAGTATTAAAGAGATAAGCAGTGCATGCCATCAAGATGGAGCCAGCCCTGACAGTTGCACAGCTCTGAAGTGCTCTTCTGCAGTCAACACAACTGGAAGGGGTTGAGATCTGAGGAGAGCTCTGATCAGACATGGAGAGTTCTGAAATAGGACTGAATGTACAGCTACAAGCCTATGGGAGCCAATGAGTAGAAAGTGATATTTGTGGGAGGCTCATATATTTGTATGCTTAGTCTCCAGCTGAAAAACTATTTGGCAAGGAAATGTGGCCTTCCTGGAGGGTGTGTTAATAGATGTAGGTTTTGAGGGCTCAGTTTTCTTCTCTCTGCTGCTGGGAGGTGGAGCAGAATGAAAAGTTTTCAGCTACTGCTCCAGCCCTGTGCCTGTCTGTTTTCTACCATGATGATCATAAACCAAACCTCTAAACCTGTAAGTAACTCCTAATTAAATGCTTCCTTTCAGAAGAGTTGCCTTGGTTGTGGTGTCTTTTCATGGTGACAGCACAGTAACTGAGAAAATGCCCACGAGACCAAAGTGCTTTAGAGCAGCAGCTTTTGCCTGTGTGGTTTCTATGGCTTTACAAGAGTCAAGCCTGAGAAGGAAGACCTATTAGAAGCAACAACTATGAGCACAGAAAACACTTCTGCAAAGTTAGGGGGACAGAATACAAATGATCACAAAAAACTGGGTAGAACCAAGAAACTGATAAAAACTTTAGTTGCTTTCCTAAGCTTTACTACAATATTAATTAAAAGGTAGCTTTAGAATTACTCAATTTCTGCCTGTAATCCCAGCACTCAGGGCGGCAGAGATAGGTGGCTCTTTATAAATTTGAGGTCAGCCTGGTCTACAAAGTGAGTCCAGGGCAGCCAAGGCTACATAGAGAAACCCTGTCTCAATTAAAAAAAAATTAATTCCTATGATGAACTTACTTCTAAATTTAATATTTTAAGATTGTGTGCGTGTGTGTGTGCCTGTGGGGGTCACAAGTGGGTGCTGGGTCTCTAGGGTTGGAGTCATAGCCAGATGCGAGCCACCCAATATGGGACCAAACTCCACTCCTCTGCAAGGGCAGGTGCTCCCTAACCTCTGGGCCATCTGTGCAGATTCACTGTTGCGCTTTAATAAGTTTGTTCTAACCCTAATGTTGACACTCCAAGGATGGGTAGTCTTAAGCATACATGAGACAGCTCTTTTCCCTTAGATGACTTTCATCAGCTACTGGGCCAAGCAAGAAAACAAATGAAAACACAACCAAGACCACCCCTTCTTAATCACTATAGCATTTTTTTTTTTGAGCTTTGAAAACATTTTTTTTAAAAGATTTATTTATTTATTATGTATACAGTGTTCTACCTGCCTGTGCATCTGCATGCCAGAAGAGGGCACCGGATCTCACTACAGATGGCCGTGAGCTACCATGTGGTTTGCTGGGAATTGAACTCAGACCTGTGGAAGAGCCGCCAGTGCTTTTAACCTGAGTCATCTCTCCAGCTCCATGTAAACATTTTTAAATATAGCTTCTGGAGGCTTCTACCACTAAGACTTTAGTTTACTCTCTTAATTTTCAACCCATGCTGATTACCTACCGAAGGTCAAGGCCTTGATTTTGCCAGATGTTCTCCATGATTCGAATGATCTGAAGGGTTAACATATCTTGCCGTAAATCTGAAATTCAAATACATGTCACTTAACACCACGACACTAGTTTCCAGATGGAAATAAAGAAATGTGTTTTAATTTTTAAAATCAGCTTTGAAAATATTTGCACAATCATCTGGGTAACAATATATTTTAAAAAGTTCCAAGTCTATTTAAAATATTTAACTTCATGAAGAATAGGGTCTAAATGTGGCCTACGCTGCAATACTGGAGTCAACAGTACTCACTGCTGAGTTTGCTCCTCTCAGGGGCCACTGGTGAGCCTCCTCTCTCCTGAAGCCCATTCTCCACATTAAGCAGGGCCTTGTTTTTTTTTTTTTTTAAAAGATTTATTTATTTATTATGTATACAGTATTCTGCCTGCATGTGTGCCTATAGGTCACAAGAGGGCACCAGATCTCACTATAGATGGTTGTGAGTGAGCCACAATGTGGTTGCTGGGAATTGAACTCAGGACCTCTGGAAGAACAACCAGTGCTCTTAACCTCTGAGCCATCTCTCCAACCCAAGCAGGGCCTGCTTCAATACTCTTTCAGAAGACTACACTCTGTCTCGTGGTTCTTTTACTTTTGTAATTATCTGTTGAATGTTCTTTTCCCAGACTTTAAGCTACAAGAGGGTAGGCTCTGTCACAGTCCCAAGGTCCAGCACACAGAATATTTAAGGAATAAATGCTATGCAAACCACTCTTGTACACAGGAAATAAGCCAAGGCAGACAATGATTCCAAGGCCCCTGATTCCAAAGGAGATCAAATTTCACCTCAACTGGGGAAGGCTGATAGTCAAATGGAGGTTGAGCTCAGGTCTTGACCGTCACCTTTTAAGGAGTTCTCTGAGATAACTTTTTTGATACAGAGTCTCATGTAGCCCTCAACTAGCTATGTAGGTGTAGAAGATCTTGAACATCTGATCTTCCTGCCTTCTTTCCCAAGTCTAGCTCAAACAACTTTGATGAGGAGATTGTTTCACTGTAGTATCAAGACTATCTTCACTCATCCTAATTCTGCCCATTCACCCTCCTGCAATGCCAGCCTTCCTCCAACCCAATCTCAGTATAGATCAAGAGGATGGACCATCTTCAGCCTCTTGGTCTTTCTTTTGGAGTCTTATATCCTGGGTGATTTCTTTCTCTTGCTAGTCTGGTTTCTCTCAATTTAATTTGTAGTCTGACCCAGGATGGATAAGGGCAGAGACATGCCAGTTTTGCTTTCCTACTTATGAATAATCACTGGGGGGATGGGAAGAAGCACTAGACTTAGAATTACAGGAATCAGACTTCAGTTATTTCCTCTGGTTGCTAAGATGCATAATAAGTGAGTTCCTTTTAGCGGAGGGTCCACCTTCAAGGCAGAAGTGTCTGCATGTATCTACTCTCTCCAGACCCTGGGTTCAGTGTCATTAAAGCATAGCATCCTATTCCCCAAATTCCTTCATATGCACACTGTAAAATATAAGACATTTTAATATTCTAGATTTTATACAGCAATCCTTAAATGGCTTTCAAAGGCTCCCTTGGTTCATAAATATCCTGTGTATAAAGACAGCAACATGCACACAGCATGAGCTCACTAGTGCTCTCCTCACCATCGCCATTTTTAAAGATGATCTCATTGTTCTGAAACAGTAGCTCTGACATGATGTCTGGGTTCTCCCAATTCAACCAGAGTGGCCTTTTTGCAGAGGACATAATCCGACACTCTTCAAGCCTGTAAGATAGTTGAAGACTTTACCAGGTGCCTTAGCTTTTTATACTTTTGGTCCTTGGGTTTACTTAAAACATATACCCAATATAGTTTTTTGAAGTGTTGTAAAAATTAAAACTTTTTCAGAAGAAAATAAACATTAATCTTTAAAATGTATATATAAAATTTCAACCAATATAAGAATATATAGTTGGCTTTACACAGACAATTCCCACTTCTTATTTATGATACCAGAACTTCTAACCATAGAAAGATTTAAACTATCATCAAAGTAACAGAAACTGACTCAAAATAAATGTAGCTCTAGTTAAGACAATTTTACTATTGCTGTTTTACAAGAACTAGAAGATTGGATTTTTGTTAAGACGTATCTGGAAAAATACTTAAATATACCAATAAAAGGCATTAACCTTACCTGAGGTTTCCTAGTTGGTGAGCAGGATTTAGAGGGGACAGAAAACCCTGCAAAGCATCCATGAAGTCTGGCTGTCTCATCTGTTCAACCAAAAACTTCATCTGTACCTGATAACGAAGCACAGTCCGAGTGAGGAGCGGTGTTCCTAAGGGGAAAGTAGCTGCTGTTTCAGTGCTATGAAGTCTGCTTCCACTCCCTGGGCCAGGCAAACTGTTGATTAGGAAGTCAAGACTGCAGCAGTATTATCAGTTGGGAACATGGTTCTGAACACAAGCTCTGCTGCTGTCTAAGCAAAATTACTCCATTACTGCCTGCAGATCAGTTGTGGCTTTTGCAAGGTGCGTTAAACCTGGCTGCTTTCACAGCTGAGTTCAGTAGGTAAGGCCAGACTATGCGATCTGAAACACCAACTATTTACTGCCTGGCCCATTAGTGAGAAAATCTGCTGATCCTTATTTGAGAAGAAAAACAAAAAGACCAGGCTACTTTAGATCTAAGCTTAATATTGTTGGTCTTTGTTTTTGGATTGTTAGGAAACTTCATTCACATGGTTAGGAAAAAAGACCTAGTAAGGCTGAAAGAATCTAGAAACCACTTGATATATAGACTCTGACACTATATGGAGTTTATTTTGCAGATCCATCCATTTACTCAGAACTATCAAGCAATAGTTGGTAGGTTTTAAAGGAAACATTCATTTCTTGTAAATAAAAAATGTGATAGAAAGGCTAGGGGCAGGAACTCATAGTTTTCCCACCAGAATCTGAATAAAGAAGTTTCCCCCCTTCTCTGTATTAAGTGAATAGCTAGAAAATCTCATCAGCTTTGACTAGGCAGCACTTTTGAGTACAGCTACAAAAGTAGATCTCTGTCTACTTCAATACTGACACAGAGCCTTCCACACACTACTATAAACACAGGAACTATTTGTATTTCCAGAGTTTAACTTCAGAACCTCACCATAATCTCACTTAAGCTGACAGTAAGTTGAGTGATAAACTCCAATTTCCTAATGAAGCCACTGGACAAGAGTCAATATGTGATATGAAGACTTTAACACAGAATACTTAACAAATTATCTGCTACAAAGCTTTTCAAAACTCTTGCAATATAGTTGGGTGTGGTGGTGCATGCCTGTAATCCCAGCACTCGGCAGATCGAGGCAGGCAGATCTCTGTGAGTTGGGGGCCAGCCTGGTCCACAAAGCAAGTCCAGGATAGCCAGTGCTATTATGCAGAGGAACCCTACTTAAAACAAACAAACAAACAAAAAACCAACCAAACAAACAAAAAAAAATCCTCTTGTGATATATATCTATCTATATATATATGCATGCAGTGCCTCGTTGCCCACGATAACATCATAAATAGCACAATTCTTTTTCACTTTTCTTTCTACATTTATTTACTTACTCATTTACATGAACCACATGCTACACCAAGCCTTGTTTATGTGGAGCTGGGGACTGAACTTGTGTGTTCATATACCATCAACAGCTACATCCTAAGCCTGTTCCACGTATTTTCTAATAATCTATATTTGAATCTATATCCTGCATTTTAAAAGAGTCAATTCAATCACATATTTTAGGGCATCTAAATTAATATAGTAACTTTCTTTTAGATTAATCGCAGCAACTTAAAAAAAGTTGTTTTTCTTTCCAGTATTACTAATATAGATGTTGGGGAAAAAAAAAAAACTATAATCAAGAGAGCGGACACGGGGTAAGATGATCAATCCTCATTTAGAAAGACAAATGGGATGTGCATTGAACGTATGACAGGAGTCTACTGCAGAAGGCATCTGAAAGACTCTACCTAGCAGTGTTTCAGGGCAGATGCTAGGACTCATAACCAAACCTTCGGCAGAGTACAGGGAATCATATGAAAGAAGGGAAATTAGTATGATGTGGAAAGGATAGGAGCTCCACAATGACCAAATATATCCGGGCACAGGGTCTTTTCTGAGACTGACATTCAACCAAGGACCATGTATGGATATAACCTGGAGCCACTGCTTGGACATAACCCGTGGTAGCTCAGTAACCCGTTGGTTTCCCATGGTAAGGGGAACAGGGACTGTTTCTGGCAGGAACTCAATGGCTGGCTCTTTGACCTCCCCACTCCCCCAAGGGAGGAGCGGTCCTGTTGGGCCACAGAGGAGGACTTTGCAGCCAGTCCTGAGGATACCTGATGGGAAAGGGTTGGATGAAAGGGGGGGAGGTCCTCCCCTATCAGTGGACTTGGAGGGGGGTGGGGGAGATCAGGGAGGGAGGGTGGGAATGGGAGGGAGGGAGGGAGTGGGGTACAGCTGGGATGCAGAGTTGACAAAATATAACTAATAAGAAAAAATAAAATAAAATAAAATAAAATAAAATAAAATAAAATAAAATAA